GTTTAATATGCAATAATACCACCAATCTGGAAGTGCAATTAAATTCACGTCACTAAAAACTAAATGACTGATTGATTGGATTGTAATACCATGACCTTTATTCACAAAAAAACTCAACTAAAATATTTGATATTTGATGTAATGCTATATGGTTTTGAACTTTACGAATAAAATACTTTAAAAGGATATGACATTCACAATGACAATATTTTTAGCCTTTAAATAAAAGTTACGCGGAAAATGAAGTTCAAAATTTGTTTCTCAGCAAGATTTGTGCATTTACATGTCTATCAAGATGTATCAACTAAAAGTTCTCTAAAAAGGTAAATAAATAATACATGTGTTCTGGGAATTGCGTCACTTCCGGTAGGAATTTTGTTTTAGGCATCATATGCCGTTAATTTTGGTTCAATCGGGTGATTATTAATCAGTTTAAAAGCCGAAGGGAAATATTTTAAAGACGGGTTGATATTTGTGTACAGATAATAGATGCCTATGACACCACAAAGTTTCAAGTATACATTTTCAAAACTGAAACGATATTTTTCAAACATATTACATTAACGAACTTGTGAACAAGGTACGTAAATATGAATATGTCATAAAATATTTTACAATTTTGAAAATGTATTCGGACCCTTTAATGGTAGGCCCTATGCATCTCGATATCTTGTATTTTGTGTTATGGCCCGTATTTTGACGTTAAATACGCCCACCCCTTCCTCATTTAATACATGTTAGAGCTATTTCAATTTTGTTCTTTTTTCAAGGTATGTAATTACAAATGTGCAAGAAAATAATTTACATTTTGTAGCAAACAATAAACATACTTTCCAGCTGTATATGAACAGATATCGAGCATTTCTTATTAAGATCTTTTTTTCCCGCCCCTCCCCTCACTTAATAAAGTTTAGCACCGTGGAACTTTGATCTCTTAATGTGCCGGAAAATAACTTGAAAAGTCATACGCTATTAATATCTAATAATTGATTGGGGGGGGGGGGGTCTTAAATGTCAAAATATGGGTCATACTACGACATTCCAGATATCACACAGAATACCACCGAAAAGAAAATTCATTTACCTTTACAAAAATGTAAATTATATTCTGGCACATTTAAATTTACATAGCTTGAAAAAGGTATTACAGTTGGATGACGCTAAATACTATTAAGTTAGGGGGTCGGGTGAGTGTGTGTGTGGGGGGGGGGGGTATTTAAAGGTTAAAATACGGGTTATCGTGTAATGCTTAAGCGGAAAGTATTTATGTATTTATCCCTCTTTCAATATATTACTTATTCTCTGGCACATCCATGATTACATGATTTAGAAGAGATTAAACACTCTTTCTTTTGAGAAGAGAAATATGACAAAACCTATATTTCTGAAAATAGACTACTTTCCGTTTATTTTCTTTCTCGAAGGCCCGGCTCAATTAGCCATACTACGCACGTGGTTTCACTAGAGTCGCGGTCATCGAGCGAATTTTCTTATTGTGTATATGCTTGCTCGATTCCCCATTACTGTATGGTGGCTTATTGTATGCGAGGTTGATTTCCGCTCATGTCGTCATAATATTCCGGTTCGATGGAATTCGAGAAATGTTTTTGGAGAAATGTTATTGAAGAAATGTTTTTGAGGAAATGTTTTGTAAGATTTGTATTTGGAGATTTGTATTTAGAAATATGTTGTTCCAGATTTGCTTTTTGTTGTATTTCTCTGATGAAATGTAAATGTAGGCTAATTTCTCTGATGAAATGTAATGTAGGCTAATTTCTCTGATGAAGTAGGCTAATTTCTCTGATGAAATGTAAATGTAGGCTAATTTCTCTGATGAAGTAGGCTAATTTCTCTGATGAAGTAGGCTTATTTCTCTGATGAAATGTAAATGTAGACTAATTTTTGATTTTCTAAAATAAATTTATCTTTATATTAAAGAACAATTAAAATACATTTTACAAATCTGATATGGCAACTGTCTGATTTGTAAAACAAATATTGATTTTAAGATACAAATGTTAATTTTGGTGTACAAATGTCGAAATAAGACAACAAATGAAGAAATAGAAATAGACTATGATTTGAGAAATAAGGACTAAGAACACTGAATAAAGAGCTGTTTGGTCTTCCATATTCTCGGGCGATTGCTTCGGGAATATGATAAAATGTGTAATATAAAACTCTCGTATCGAGTAGTTGGAGATTATTTACAGTTACTTGAAATTTCTTACTGTATCTTTTCTAGCATACTACAATACATGCACGGTATATCACGCGCCAGATTGTTTTGACTCGGTGAGGACATTTCTTCCTCGATTATCTCAAAATACTCCTACATGTAACACTCCCCTTCCGTTTTATTGCCAAATAAGCTTTGTTTAATTCTTATTCAACCCCTTATGTCACTGAATTGATCATTCCAGGGCGTTATTACTGTATTTACAAATCTAACTTATTATAATTTTTTCTTTAACAGTTGTTTAGATTGTTTGGTCATATTATAAATATTTAATTAAACATTGACTATATTGTAAATATTTAATTGGTTATGTGATACACTAGTAATTAATAATTGCCTATATTATACCTATTTAATTAACAGTATTAGGCCATGTTATAAATATTTAATTTAAAGTTGGCTATATTGTAAATATTTAATCCACGTTTCGCTATATTTTAAATATCTAATTATCTATGTATATTATTTCTAAAAGTAATATTTGCTAAATTATACATAGTTCATGAACCATATTTGTATATATTATAAATATTTAATTAAACATGCATTATGAAAGACCTAAATCTGTCTAATGCCGGTCTTTCTTTAGGCCTGAAATGTTATATAACTTATTAATAAGACATTAATTAACTTACCAAGACCATAATCAACCCTCGATGCCATTGAATTCCATCTGTAAAGGAATTGGGGGAGGGGGGCTGAGACACTTGTCAAAGGGGGGCCGGAGGTATGCCGAGTAATTTTTAAATAAAAAACTATTAATAAAAAAACCAAATAAACTGTTACTAGATCCTAAAGTAGAAGGAAACCAGTGACTTTTCTGGCGGGGGTAGAATTAGAACCGGATTCCGTCAGTTCCCTAGTTTGGAAAAATTGGTGAATTAAAAACTGTAAGCCTTCAGTCCGTCTTCGTTACCGCCAGGGTATCCGGACCCCCTTCCGCTTGAATCCAGTTTAACATGATTTGGTGTATTGCAAAAAAAAAATTGCTTATTTGAAAGAAAATTTGTTTTTGATATTTTGGCGTCTGATTGTCACGGTTCTTTTTTTTTTCCTTAAGCTTGCTTACTTAAAATTTCCTGACAAAATCGTGTACATTTGATTATTATTTCATCAGTAAAATTAAAACGTAGTATATGTATTTGGTTTGTTGTGTTAAATCTCCAGTTACCCCAGATATACGCCAAAATGACGCTAGAGGTAATGCATCTTTCAAAATTGTCTGAGCCGGCTGGTAGATAACCGCCCCTCACCCCACCCAATACCGGTTACGCCTAGGGCTCTGTTGGCCATAATATAAGGAACATTTTGCTAGGTGGCCCGAAAATACAAATATTTTGGGTTCACCGATAAAAGGAAGAAAGTTAAATTTAACAACAGAAAATTTATTACCAGAATTACTATAAGATTATAGTAGCCAGATTACAACTTTGTTAACTTTATATTTCTGTGGCCTGAAATTTTTGCTGGCCTTAAAGCACGGGCCTTATTTGCCTAATGGTTAATCCGGCACTGACTGCCCTCCCCCGCCCACCATCGTCGAGTTGCCAGGCCCTCCGCCCTGCACTACTGAAATGGGGAAACCACCCCAGAAATTAGTTGAATGCTAAACAAGCTGATATCAAATTGATATCAAATTTTTATCGTATAATAGTGCCGCTGCCCGGGCAAAATTTCTCTCATAGCACACTGTATGGCGTATGCCCGTCTTCATTAGCCCAGTATAGGAGCAGAACAGTAGGACGTTAAACCCCATTTCATTTCATTTTATCGTATAATGAATCACTACCTGAATAACAGATACGCCGAATTAGTGCCGGGTTTTTTTTTGGTTTTTTTTTTTGGGGGGGGTGGGGGGGTATTTTTATTATTTTATCTTTTAAAATAGAAGAGGTTTACCTTCTTTAAAATTCAAAATTCCAGTTTGTCTCATATCTGCACAAATTCATTCAAATCGACAAAACAATTACGTAGTGATAGGACCTCAAGCGCGTAATTTGTTATGTATATCCAGTATATATATTCGTATCCCATATTGGTCGACAAAGGAGTCTTCGGGATGTTTAAAGGCTGGAATTTACTTCAGTCAGAGTTTGAACCTGCGAGAGTGTCTTGTCGTTGGGTTAGGACGAAACCCGGGGTAAACTCGTGCACACATTGGCTTACATTAATGATATGAAATGGGGTTTAACGTCCTACTATTCTGCTCCGACTGGGCTAATGATGACGGGCTTACGCCATACAGGGGTAAATCTTGACCGGACAGCGGCGCTACGGTCTACTCTTATATCAAATTCCAACTGTCAATGGATCTTTTACGTGCACGCCAACATGTAATTAACCATGGCAGTATAATGGCTGTTGGAAATCGAAGAAGGAAGACGAAAATTCTCCTACCTTTCATTCATTACACACGAAACCATAGAAATAAATACAGACCACCGAAGCGTTGTAATAACGAGACCTTATACAATTCAGTATCGGGTTCCATGAAGTCATCGAACATTGTGGGGCATTATATAGCCTATCAATGTGACGTACAATGAATCCATAATTCATAATGCTCCACATGTAGTAGTATTGTTATTATGAAATACTATACTATACTGATAAATAACAACGCGATAACAATGTGTGACCTTCGACCTAGTCCATGTTGTTAAAGGATTGAGTCGCTATATTTAAAACCAATGGTGAACGTTATCATAACACTGCAATATTCATAAACACGTATTAAAGAGAGGGTGATATTGAGTCTTACCTAGAAATCATTTTGCTGGTAGTCTCCTCAAACTGACTTAAATCAAATCATCGTCTGTCTCGGCTGCCGGGTGCGTCATATAGCCCGTCAACCAGCCACTAGGCCCCATTTTAAAATGAGAACACCCTTTCCTTTCACTGCATAATTGTGATTATAAGAAGGCGCGATCCTCAATTGGACGAGTCCATTCGTTATATAGGGAAGATGAATAGTCACGCAAGATAATCAATGTAGCCGTTATCGATCTTGTGCGCGAAATAATTCCTTAGGAATCATTACAAGAGTTTGTGACGTAAAACCCAGAAATGCCAGTAAAATCAATACGGTAGGAAGAGTTTATGATCAAAAGTGCACGCGTTAAACCACCTCTGGACACCCCAACCCCTACGTACCCATCTACTACTCTGTCCATCATCCCAAATTACATAAAAATCTAAAATGGGAAATGTGTCTAGTGGCGAAGATGGGAGGAAACATACTTTGATATAAAGAAAATTGAAATGAAAAGGAATGGGGTTTAACGTTCTACTTTTCTGCTCCAACTTCGTTAATAAAGACGGGCATACGTCACACAGTGTACTATGAGGGCAATTTTACCCCGACAGTGGCGCTACGGCCTACTCTTATATCGAATTAAAACTCTTATGGGTTCTTTTACCTTCACGCATGGGCGTGGATTAAGGGTCCCCCCTTAGAATCGGAAGGAGGACGAATAGGTCTCTGCCCTCCCCCCCCCCCCATGATTTTGATCGCCAGGACAGATTTTCAGGTTTATATCCACATGAATGTCCCGTTCTGAAGGCTATCTAACCACTGCCTTGGGTCTCGCCACAGTAATTCATCTTCACGATATCTTCCTCCTTAATTGTAGGTAGTCAATTTTACCATATCGTCATCATATTACCCCTAGTTACAGCTTTCATCGAAATAACACTGGTAAACTGTTCGTAATTATTATTTTGGTTTGGTAATGAAAGGTACCAGGGTTCGTCCGTCCCCCACAAAAGCTATGACAAATCCACACCCTTGCCTACACGCCAATGTGTATACGGAGCCTAAGTTTTTCGTTCCATCCGAACGACTAGACACTGTCCTTGTTCGGCCCTCCGTCCTGTTCCAATGGCAAGGGGAAACCACGCCGAAAAATCCCTAGGAACTTCCTCGGCCTATGTTGGACTGATTAGCGTTCCAGCATCTTACACACTGAGCCGTCGTGGCTCATGAAACTACTTGAGCAGAAAACCGCAGGTAATCTTAAACATAACTAGAACTGCGATGCAGTGCTGACGGATTTCATTGTTGACCGTTTGGGGGCGGGGGGTGGGGGTGATTTAACATCATTATTTGAATATTGTAAGGAAGGAATTAGGCCAAAAAAGTATTAAGTGATATTCCTCCGCTTTTCGCACCCAGTGAAAGGATTGCTTGCTCAACTTTTTATGGTGGATATTATGACGCAATGTCTGAAGTAATTTAAGTCGAACAAATAAAGACGCATGGGTTATATCGTAACATTCATGGAGGTAAATCGTATGAAATTAAAAATGTATCACGGCATTAGAGAGAGGGAGAGAGAGAGAGAGAGAGAGAGAGAGAGATGGTTTAACGTCCACTCGACACAAACCAGGTCATTTCGGGACTAACATATGGTTCAATGTTATTTCAATAATTCGCTTGCGCGTTTGAGTCTTTAGCAGTGGAAGGAAACCGGAGGACCCGGAGAAAACCAATGAGGTTGGACAGGCGACCCTACACCTTGTCACGCACAGCCGGGGAATTGAAACCACGCCAGTTGACTCAATGACAGACCTAATGATGCAACGCGCACGTACTAACCATTCGGCCACCCAAACCTTCTACATGTACTTAGTGTCCATATAATCAAAAATACCATACAAAATGCTTTTCTGTAAAGATATATATTATCGGCATACTTGTAGATATGTACATAGCCTTTTCTCTTCATTTTATTGATATATTATTCAGATTGATTTTATCCTAATTTGGTTATATAGCCTTTTTGTATATATTTTCTGTAATATAGGAGAGAGGTAATATAGGCCTAGCCCGTTACTCAATTCTTTTTCTGGGAATAAAATATTGTTTATAAATATAAAATTCGATATTCAGTACAATAAAATTCAATGTCAATTCTCCAGCACAGTGAATCTCCAATTCGCGCGTCCTTCGACGTCACGAATTCCATGTAGATATTAGTATTAGTATAACAAAACAACTGTTATGTAAATAGCCATTGAATAACCCGAATGACAAAACACCCAATGTTCAGCTGAACAGCGAATAGTAATTCCAACTTACCCATGACACGTGACATGCATATATCACGTGTTTAGCCGTTGACTATTGTTGAACAGCGATTCAAGATTTACCGTTATAATTTAGTTTGTCGTTGACAATAGTTTATATTTAACAATAGTGTCCTTATTAATGATGACTCCGGCATAGAATTGTGACTTTTTAGTTTATGAAGCAATTTAACTTTTAGCTGTCACGGACACATTGGGGAGAACGAATGAATGATCGAAAGGAACGAGAAAAACAAATTACGATAGCTTTGTATTATACGATATATGACCACATAATTAGTACCAGAGTAACTGAAAATCATCATAAGAATATCATATCAATGAATGAATTCTATTATATAGGCTTATGTCACGTGATAAATTAGTACCAGATTAACTAACACTAAAAATCATCGTAAGAATATCAATGAATGAATTCCATTATATAGGCTTGTGTCACGTGATTAATTAGTACCAGAGTAACTAACATTGAAAATCATAGTAGGAATTCATATCAGTAAATAAAGTCCATTATATAGGCTTATGTCACGTGATAAACGCAGCAAGAAATCCAATTGTGCGTAGAAGCTCATTTTAGCTACGGTACGTTATTTTCTAGGGTTTTGGTTGGTGGTGGTGTGGAGATGGTGTTTTTTTCTGTTTCTATTGTTCAAGCTTTAACCGATATATAAATCCACTGTAAACTACAATATTAAAGTTAAATCCCTTATAGGAATATCAATCCAAAAATACCCACTGGCATCGTCATACACGTAGCCAGCCGGAAGCAAAATGGGGGTGGGGGGGCTAGATCATTCACTACAAATGCTAATAATGTTTATTATTATAACGGTTCAACGACAACAGTTAAACATTTTTATCATGACATCATAATGTTCCCCTGTCTTGTCTCTATGTTCATTGTTCAGAGTTCGCTAGAGAACGATTTTCTGGGCTGGAAAACGCGTTTGCGGTCGTCCAATTTTCAAAATTTTCCGGGAGAGGATCTCCAGATTCCCCCCCCCACCCCCACTTTAAAAAAGTTCACAGCCCCTCCATAGTCAGCATCTTTATGTTTCATGAAACGTAATTGATGGGCCTGTTTTTAATCCAATTGAATCCATGCCGGCGGGGGTATTTTGCTTTCGTAATTAAATATTACAATTTAATCTGAAAACATATTAGCGAGGATTAAACCGTGAGAAACTGAACATCTACCGAAGAATGCAAACCACGCACAACAATTCATGGTAATATCGACAATAACGATTCACACGGTGTCAATATTTGACTAAGGTTGTAATCTACTCATATTATCAACCGTTTAATAGAATATGCAGCACCCATCCCCATGTGAAGTTCAAATATATTTCTTAAAAATACTTTTTAAAAAACACTTGTTTTGCTGGTTCGACAGACAGAAAGGCTGTAATCTACTTTGCTTATATTATCATCTGTTCAAAAATATACATCAACCATGAAATTCAAGAATATTATTTAAAGATATATTATAGGAGAGTAGATAAAGAGCTGGCAGTTCTCACTTTAATATTTAAAAACTTGATAATGTAAAGGCAATTTGCTGAACATTTCAGTCAAATTGATTCACTCTGAACCCCGATTTTAGCGATTGAATTTTCGGCCTAGCCTCGATCATCATTACTAACGTCGGTACGATAAAAAAACAACAACATAGTCTCGATTATCCATTCCATGATTAAGTAGAAGAGCAAATCGGAACCTAATCCAATACACATCGCATCCTAGCGATGACATCGAAAGTTAATCAAAAGAGAGAGAGAGAAATGGGGTTTAACGTCCACTCGACACAAACTAGGTCATTTCGGGACTAACATATGGTTTAATTTTATTTACATAATTCGCTTGCGCGTAGGGGTCTTTAGCAGTGGGAGGAAACCGGAGGACCCGGAGAAAACCCACGAGGTTGGACAGGCGACCCTACTCCTTGCCACGTACAACCGGGGATTCGAAACCACGTCAGTCGACTAAATGACAGACTGTATGATACAGCGCGCACACGCTAACCATTCAGCCATCCAACCCCCCCGAAAGTTAATCAATGCCTAATTAATAACATTTCAGGCCTAAGGAAAGACCTACAATAGGCAGATTTAGCCCTTGCATAATGTATGTTTGAGTATCATGTTTTAGTATAATATTGTTTCTCTCGAACAAAGAATACATTGATTAGCTAAGTTTTCGATAAAACAGATAAGGATACCTATAACATACCTTTCCATTAAAGGTCACCAGAAAAGCTTCATAAATTATTTAAATAATGCAAGTAATTATGTCAACATATCCTTTCCATAAGTATAATACGAACCCGAATGTCAATATTACCTGCAAAGGGTAGATTTCAACGTTAGTAATTTCCATCGTTCTCCGTGGGTAGGCCGTGACGTCATTTTAGTCCTACTGCTCATAGAAATATAGACTAGAGTATACCCCGTTTCTCTATATTGTAGAGGAAACCGGAGGAACCGATGAAAACCCACCAGGTTGGATAGGCGACCCTAATTTCAATAATTTCCTTGAGCGTAGGGGCCTTTAGCAGTGGGAGGAAACCCGAGCACCCGGAGAAAACCCACAAGGTTCAACAGGCCACTCTACTCCTTGTCATGCACAAACGGGGAATCCGGAGCAAAACAGTAGGACGTTAACCCCCATTCCATTTCAATTCACAACCGGGGAATCGAAACCACGCCTGTTGACTCAATGACCGCCCTCCTGATAGACCGCACACGCGCTAACCATTCGACCATACATCCCCCCCTCCCGCCGCAGCCCCTCTAAAAAATAAACCCAGCAGTCTGTAGGCCAGGAATTGGTTGTTGATCTTT